CTCTTCTTTTACAAAAATGCCAGAAAACTTGAAGTAGCAACAAAAAAAAAAAAAAAAAAAAAAAAAAAGTAAGATACCTGTGTGAGTGAGGGGTTTGAGGAAGCAAAGGGAAGAAATGATGCAGGTTTATCAGCCCCACAAAAATAATTCTGTCTTTTTTCAATAAGGCTTATAATTTGGTACCTTGATGAACCTTGGGCAGTGTGACAAAAATATCAATGTAAAAAGAAAAAAAACCCTCCTCCTCCCACAGGATGGCTGATAGTTTTGTGGAAGAGAGAATCTGTCCTGCAAGGGTTGAAAAGAACTAGACTGAAAAAAGATCTGAAAGCCTTCAAGTTGGTACAAATGGTTGCTCTGATTCCTCTGGGGACACGGAGTGGATCTTTGCATGGCATCTTGCATAGACCGTGACAACAACAAGGGCATAAGGACTTGTCTGTGGGGGAAAAACCCCCGTCCATGAACATGGAACCAGTCTGTCGTGTTCACATGTCTGGGGAAAAAGGATTTTAAAGGGAATGGCACAGAGATACTTGGTGAGTTTCCTGATACTGCAATCATAGAATCATAAAATGGTTTGGGACCTTAAAGCTCATCTCGTTCCACCCTCCTGCCATTGCAGGAGAATTGCAGGGGGAGTGGGGGGCCAAAGCATCTATGGCTGCCCCATCCTTGGAAGTGTCCCAGGCCAGGTTGGATGGGGCTTGGAGCAACCTGGGCTAGTGGAAGGTGTCCCTGCCCACGGCAGGGGGTGGGATGAGATGAGTTTTAAGGTCCCTTCCCCCCCAAACCATTCTGGGACTCTACGAAATTAGCAATGACATTGAGAGAAAGACTTTATAATAATAACCTGACAACAAACAGGGACTGGAAGCCCAGGCTCCTGCCTGCCTCATGTGTGTCCCTCTGACAGGAGCAATCATATCCCTGGGAAAGCTCAGACTGTGCCATTATCCAAAGAACTCTGATTTCACAGATCACTTCCCTCGCAGCGGCAGTGAACACAGATAACAGCATTTTTCAAAAGAGAGGCTGAGGTGGACAATAATTCATCAAATGCATTTCCTCTTTTGCATAATCCTAGAGGCACGAGGGTGTGATCCCACTCTTAGCCTCGCTGCAGCCTCACAGAGAAATGCCCGCTGAAAAAAACTGGGAAAGCATTACTGTGGTTTTTGAAGCATGTAAACGCCTGGAAGAGCTTCTCCAAGGGATTATAATGGATACCTGCACTTAGGGAAGTGCAGACCATCCTCACTAAAATTCCTACTAAGCAGAAATACTTATTTTCTGTGTATGGAGTTCAGTGTCTGGAAAACCAGCCTGAGTTAATTTTACTTGAAAGCCAGAAAGAAACCTTCATTATTACATTGCTGCCCCTGTTTTCGAAGAAAAAAAGAAGGCAACGGTTGTGGTGAACATCTTATTTTAGCTACAGGCAAAACCCACAGGAAAATAAGTATCAGGGATGAAGTTCACCAGTACAGAACAATTCCCCAGTTCAGACCAGTTTGGACTGTGGTGGTGAGGAATCCTGCTACTGCAGGTAGGACATAAAACATCAGTGGCACCACCTTGAAAGAGTGTGCTGGTAACATTCTACAATGATTTTTCAAAGAACAGTTTCCCTGATTTTTTTTTTTTTTGATTTTTTTTTTTAATCCCTTTTTCAATTTTCCCACTTGGAATGTCCCCTGCAGTTCCTGTCTCTCAGGTACAGGCGTGCACTGCTCGGGAGTGAGAGCATTCTTTTGTGTGGAGGAGAAATATCACACCGTGCATTGCAAAGAGAAAAATGCTCTGTTTACACATAATTAGTTTTACAAACGGAGGGGGAATGTCTGGAGTGCAGACAGAGCTTGGCTTTTGAGCCTTCCTCATCCATACGGATTCTTCCATGACGAATGCTGTGTTTTCAATCACGGAATTACCGCCCTTGCAGCAAGTTTCACTCTGTTCATTGAGAACTGCCAGGCTGTTTTTTTTCTGACTGAGCTACTCCTGTGTGCCCCTGTCAGAAACAACTCTGTTTTGTGCAGCTCAATCATTCAAAAACTCAGGGTCTTCACAGGAAGGTGTTTTAGTCCTGTGACATTCCCTGAAAACAAGGTTTGCTGCTGTTTGGGCAGTTGGTGTTGAGCAGGGGGAGTTTTCAGCTCAGGCCCGTGTTCTGCTTCCTTTTAAGAATTTTTTGAGGAAACGGAACTTTTTATGCACACAATCCGTGCCAGCCAAAAATAACAACTCTTAAATTAGCACAGAGTAGGTGGAGGGGGGTACAACCAGCACACCGGCTTGGCACAACAGTCTGGGTATGTAAATGAAGAGATGGGACTTGACATGCGGAATAACTGGAACTGTCAGATGACTAATGAATTTCACCCACTGAGGCCCTGGAAAAGTGGCAAATGAGGTGGGATTACTTAAAAATATGCCCATATTAGCTGCCATAAGCCCCAGGTCTGCTGGGATGCAGATACCTGCCTGTGTGTGCCCGACAGTGGGAGCAGAGGGGCTGCAGCAGGGGAGGGGGTGGCAGCACTGGGGGACACACCCGGGGTTCTCCCGGGCTGCAGTCTGGTGTGTGCCACGGTAGGGAAAAGCAGACCCTGCAGGGGCTTCAGCCTTTGGCTCCTCTTTCCACTGCTGGTGCTGGCATGCTCCCAGGGCTGGAGCCCTCTGCTCTGGGACAGGCTGGGAGAGCTGGGGGGGGTTCACCTGGAGAAGAGAAGGCTCCAGGGAGACCTGAGAGCCCCTTGCAGGGCCTAAAGGGGGATTAAAAAAAGGAGGGAGAGTGACTTTTTATACTGGGATATAGTGCCAGGACAAGTGGTTTTAAACTGCCAGAGGGCAGGGTTAGGTGGGATATTGGGAAGGAATTCTTCCCTGTGGGGGTGGTGAAGCCCTGGCACAGGTTGCCCAGAGAAGCTGTGGCTGCCCCATCCCTGGAAATTGGAGCAGCCTGGGCTAGTGGAAGGTGTCCCTGTCTATGACATGGGTTGGAACTGGATGGGCTTTAAGGTCCCTTCCAACCCACCAAACCATTCCATGATTCTGTGGCTTCCCTTCGTGGCCCCAGTCGTGAGTGAAGGGCTGAGGAGGCCGAAGGGGACCGAGATATCCCTGGGATACAGGGAGATTTTGACATGCCACCCACAGGCTGGGGAGAAACATGTGCTTATGTCACACCCTGAAGTCCTGGTGGGAAGTAAACTACAAACCAAAGGGGTGTGACCTGTCACTCGCTTGGGTTCATGTGATTGCTCCAAGGGGCCACCTGACTCGCTGAACCTTCCTAATCCAGGGCTGGAGCAAACCATTAAATTTTAATAAAACCTCCTGGCTGAATCAATGGGGAATTTTACCCGAAAATCAAAGCCAGGAGAGGCCCTGCATTTAATCTTGCTGATTAAAGGCTCTGACTAAAGTGCTTGGTGTGGTAATGCCATTTAAAACCTGCCATTAATTAATCAATGGCTTGATGAGGAAAACTGACATTTAATATTTGGATTTGATTTGCAAGCAACATAGTGATTAACAGGTAGACAGTTGAGATTTTGCATTTGATTTTTTTAATGGTAGAGCAAATACACCATATTGGAAAATAAATATTCTTTATTAGATACACATTGGGATGATTTGGATTTCCCCCACTCTGACTTTCAGAGGTGATGGGGAAGTACTTCCACCTTTTTTTTGTGTCAAAAAACACTTTGAGTTCATACGTGGCTCATGTTTATTTATTAGTGCATTATAAAATGTACTTATCCAGGCTGGAGCTGAGTCATGGCTCAACAAAACCTAAGTGCTTTGGCAGCAGGGGCACTGTGACCACCAAGACTTTTCACTGTTTATACATTTCATCAAACAAAGGTTTTAATGTTCATTGGCTACAAGTTACATAGTTCTCTTATTAAGTAGCATTGTGTTCTGTTGGTTAATGATTCGTTCGTGCTAATTAGTCCCCCTTTCTCTTCCTTTGGGTTGGTGGTTCCAATTGGTGGTCCATGGGTTGATGTGTCCCTGCTGGAACCACCTTTTTCCCAGTCAGAGCTGATTTCGGTGCAGTTGCTGAGTTGTCTTTATCAGTTTCTTCCTTATCTCGGGGGTTCTGACAGATATCCTCGTGGCCCATAAATTCTGCATTCTTTGTGTCAGTGGTACATCCCTCTAACCGAGCTTTATTAAACCTCCCTTAAGTCTGAGATCATCCGGAACACGTCGAGCCCTCAACCTTAGCACGGAATTTGCCATTCCAACACCTGGGCATCGTTTAGGGCTTGTTGGCCACTCTTTGTTCCACGGCTTAAACCTCCTTTCTCACTGATTAGTATACAAAGATCAAATATTAAGAGAACATACTTTCTTAAGGGAATTTCTGCATATTCCAGAGGCAGGGGAAAGCTCAGCACTGATCCTGGCGGCTTCGAGGCGGTCTGGGGCCGTGCGGGTACGGTGTGGCTGCATCGAACGGCGCTGCGGGACACGGAGGGGCTGGAGCCGTGAGGGGAGCACGGTGCCTCAGGCGCTCGGGCACCTTCCCCTCATCCCTTCCGGCCCTTCGCGGGGGTCGGAGACCTTCTTTCTCGGGGCGTGGGACACGGCGGGGGGTGGTGGAAGGCTGTGGAGGGACATGAGGAGCCGTGAGGAGCCACGAGGAGACACGACGGGACGTGAGGGACGGCGAGCACAGCGCGTGTCCCGCCGCCTCAGGGGCCAAAGCGGCCCCGCGGCCCCGCCCGCCCCCGCCGCGCGCCAGCCCCGCGCACCGCGCCGCGATTGGCCGGGCCCCGGCGCGCGCCGGCGCCCCCTCGCCCCGCCATTGGCCGCCCGCTGTCCGCGCGCGCGGCCGCGTGCGCCCCCATTGTCACGCGCGGGGCGCTCTCCGAACGCTCCCGCCGCGCGCGCCCGCCGCCGCCGCCTCATTGGCTCCCCGGACGGTGATTGACGGGCGCCGCGGCCAATGGGCGGCGCCCGCCCCCCCCCCGGCGGTCTCAATATGGCAGCGGCGCCTCCCGGCGGCGGCGGCGTGTGCTGAGCCGCGGGTGTCCCGCGGGCTCCGGACCCGCCACCCCCGGGCACCCATCGGACACACAGCGCCCATCGCGCACCCACCGCACGCCGCCCGTCGCACGCCGCCCCGCAGGTGAGCGCGCGCCCTCTCGCTCGCGTCCCCCCCGCACGCCGGAGCCGTCGGGAGCATCTCCATCATCACCGCTCCGCCGCCGCCCCGCACCGCACGGCGGGGCGCGGAGGGTGGGAGAGCGGCGGTGCTCGGTCCCCAGCCGGCCCTGCGGCAGCGCCGGGTCTGCGCTTCACGTGTCACCGCCGGCGGCTGCGGGACCCGCCGGGACCCCCCCCGGTCCGGGCGTGCTGCGGGGGAGCGGCGGGGGGCGCTTGGGGGGAGCAGCGAGGGGCAGGAGAGGGTGCCCGCCGTGGGCAGCGGTCACTGGGGACAGGGCACAGCCGGGAGCTGCGGGCTCCCGAGGGATGCCTGCAGCCCTAGTGTCTATGGGAAGCGCTGCCCTGGCTGGAGATGCCGGCTCCCGAGGGATGCTCGCAGCCCTGGGGTCCACGGGAAGCGCTCCCGAGGGATTCCCGTAGCCCTGGGATCCATGGAAGCGCTACCCTGGCTGGAGGTGCGGGCTCCCGAGGGATGACCGCAGCCCCGTGATCCATGGGAAGCGCTGGCACCAACGCGGTCGTAAGAGAGTTGCGGGAGCGAGCGCGTAATTCCCAACCGCGTTGGGTTGGGAAGCGCTGGGAGAAACTGACCTGCTGTTCCTCGGCACTGGTCATTCATTCCCACTTTGCCCGCGGCATCCAGAGGATTCTGGGCTGGTGAAAGCTGGCTGGGATTAGGGTAGCGCTTGTGACTTGTTAATCATTTTGCCGTGTATGAAATTCTGATTAAAAAATGCATCGGCATAAATTAGGGGAGGCTGAGATCCATGGAGTGATTACTTGGGTGCCTGTCATTAGAGCATCTTTCCCCCTTCCTGTGTTATTAAAATGCTCCCGCCGTTTTCAATGACACTTCAGTGCTTGTGATGTAAATTATTGAACAAGGGCGAACAGGGACCTCCTTCACCTGTGCTGGAAGGGCCTGATCCCACAGAGAGCAACTTCTTGGCTCGGCAGTTTTCGGGACCCCTCTCCCGAGTCCTTGCTCCTGTCCCTGCCTGCCCTTCCCCGGCAAACCCACCTGGGTCAGGCAGAGTTGGATTGCACGTGGATGGAGCAGTCCTGTGGGATTCCAAAGCTGCGGCTGACCTTGGAAAGCACTGTGGTTTTCTCTCTCATCTTTTGCCTGAGTTGCCCTTGTAGGCTGTGATCTGGGGACTGATACGTGTCCGGGTCCTGGGAAGTGTCTTAGACTGGGATCATCACCCCGTGGGAGTTATTGTAACTGTTGGGTCGTGGCAGTGAATGTGCTACACTTACACCTTGGTCCTACTTGGGGGAAAACAGGATTGAGGAGTGGCTGGGGAATGAATGGGACTGTTTCTTCCCTTCTGGGCCCTGGGAGGGGGAGGTGGAAGAGGAATGCGGCTCACCTCTGCTTTGGGTACAGGCAGATCACTGCTGCTCCCTCTCTGGCTGTGGGATTTGCCCCAGAATCATGATTCCCATGGAGGGAAAAGCTGTTTCCTTCCCCAACAGCAGAGCAACTTGAAAATCCATGTTTTTAAGGGGATTCTGCCAGCAAGAATTTAATCTGCAGCCTTGTTGTTGTTGTTATTCTTGCATTAATGATCCAGTTATGCTTCCTGGGATATTAAAGGCAATATTCTGGAGTCCTTAAACAAATGCTCATCATCTTTAATGATAACTGACTTTGGGATCTGGCCCTACACAATCTCAGGTGGTGCTGACTGTAATTTGCCTTAAGGGAGACAAGATAAACTGCTGTTTGAAATGGCCTTTTCAGTGCCTCTGGTTGCTCTTGACCGAAGCAGAATCCAGTGATTTGTCTGGTCTTGCTTAGAAGAGGCAAGATAGTGGTAGTGGGGTTTTTTCCGCGAGAGGTGATTGTGCCATGTAGTCACTCAGTGGCCAGGAACACTGGAGAAGCCTTGTGAGGCCTTGTTTGAAGGGATCAGTGTGTGTAACAAGGGGGGAAAAAGCCATGTTTGCGAGTAGCAGAGCTGTGTTTCTGAGGAGAAGTTCTCGTGCTGTAGTGAGGAGCGTGGTATAAATAGCAGCGCTGGGTTTTAGGCACTGAATTCAAAGTTATGGTTTCCACAGCAACCAGCACTCAGCCTGTCGTTTGTGTATGGAATATTTCCCCCTTTTTTTAAAAAACCCCACGTGTCTGCCTTCTGGTGTTGTGCTGTGTCCATCCCTCCTCCACCGACACCTCGCGCTCGTTCCTCCTACACTGTTTTTGAGCGTCCCTCTCTCACCTTCCTTCTCTCCCAGTGGTTGTTGTCTTGCTCCATTCCCATCTCCAGGCTTCCCGCTGCCTTCTCCTGGGCCAGGAGATTCTGGCCACCATGTTGCTTTGTCTTCCAAGCCCTCCTTTCAGTACTGTTTGCTTCCAGCTGTGCCTGGGGCATGAGGGCAGAGCCCTGCTTGGAATCCCATATCCCTCAAATACCAACAGGTGTTTCCCATCTCTCCCTTACCCAGAGGGTTGTTATCTCAGTGGTAGATCCACATGCCCTCCTGGCTCTTCCTCAGCCATTTCTCTTGCAGCCCAAAGGAAATGAGAGCTGTGCACTGTGTGAAGGACCTGGGGACGTGCCCTTCCCATGGGAAGATCAGGATGCAGTGCTTGTTTTTATGAATGTTTGTCATACAAATGTGCAGTGTTGCTAAAGTGGTTTCATTTATAGCCAGGGGGTTGATGTATCTGCATGGTTGTGTCCAAGTTACAGTTTCCAGAGCAACTAGAGCAGCTTTGTGTCTTGGAAGACTGTTAACTAAAGCATGAAACATCACATCGAATTTGCCTTCCTTAAATTCTGTGATTTCAGCTACTGTTAAGAACGCAGCTGTGCTTATCCAAGAGCATGTTTAAAAGCCTCGAATGACCAAGCAGATCATCTTCAGATACCTACCTCTGCCATGAGAGCAGGAACGGGATTGTCAGCCCCCAAAGTAATTATCCTTAAAGTTATAGCATGAGGCACTTTAATAGAAAAAGGAAACAAAATAACCCACAAAAAAAGCTACCAAAGGAAAAAGCCAAAAAAGAATGAAACGGGCCACCTCAAGTACCGGGGGGGGGGGGCAGTTTTGGGCACCACAATGTAAGAAGGTTATAAAGCTCTTGGAGAGCATCTAGAGGAGGAACACAGATGGTGAAGGGTTGGGAGGGGCCATAAGAGGAGCAGCTGAGGGCACTTGGAATGTTCAGATGGAGGAGATTGAGGGCAGAGCTCACTGGGGGCTGCAGCTCCTCCTGAGGGGCAGCTCTGATCTCTGCTCTGTGTGAGCAGGGACAGGACCAGAGGCAACAGCTGGAATTGTGTCAGGAGAGGTTTAGGTTGGATCTCAGGAAAAGGTTCTTCCCCCAGAGGGTGGTCGGGCACTGAACAGGCTCCCCAGGGCAGTGGGCATGGCCCCAAGGCCCCCAGAGCTCAAGGAGTGTTAGGACAGTGCTCTGAGGGACAGGGTGGGACTCTTGGGGTGTCCTGGGCAGGGCCAGGAGTTGGACTGGATGATCCTTGTGGGTCCCTTCCAGCTCAGGATATTCTGTGGCTCTGTGATCTCGTCTCTGTCTCCAACCAGAACTAATGACAGAAGTACAGTCTGGCAGGACAGTGTAGAAAGGCTGATGTCAGCTGAAAGCAAACATCAAGTGAAGGATTCCCACTGCTGGAATATTGATCTGAAGAAGGAAGGGGAGTCGGGATCCCCTGTACATGAGAGCAGTTGGGCAGGCTGGGGTGCCAAAGGCTGGTCTGTTATCAATATTTTTTTTAATCTCCTTCTCTTTCCCCTCTCCTTTGGCTGCTGCTCCTTGTGAAACTGGGTCCCTCTTGCAGTGTCTCACTGAGCAGTGGCGCCAAGGACTCGGGAATCACGACAGGTCATTTTCCCATTGTAATTCAATTTGAGCCAGTGTTAATTTCAAAACAGTGGATGTATCTGCCTGGTTGGTGTCTCCTTGCTCTGTGAAGGGTTTTGTCGATAACAGGCGTGTCATTCCCTTAGAAATGGCCCTGCTGGGTCCTCGCACTGGTTGGAGCGATGATGCTGTAAAACGCTTGGTAGGTTACTCGGGGAATCTCAGCCAGGAGACTTTTAAATGTTGGCTTGTGTAAAAAGGAATTGCAAAGAGAACGTCTCGGGGGTTTTCCTCTCTTTTTGTTAGTAACCTTCCAGCTCAATGTTTTCCTTTTTATATCTTTAATATGTATGTAATGTTCCATTGATGCTGCCGCCTGTAACAGCGCTGTCAGCAGCCTATGGCTTTTGCTTAATAAAATGGAGGAATGATTCTTCTCCTGCGAGATGTTTTTGAAATGAAACTTAAACCCAAACCTTGTGATCTTTGGTGTGCTGCCCAGATTATAGAAACAAAATGATTGAAACAGCAGCTGGCAGTGGCTTGAAGTGAGCTGGAATACCTTGAACTTCTCCCCGGGTCGCTTTAGAGCCAAGGTGGGGATTTTGTTTTCTCTGTGCTCAGCCCAACCTTTGTGATTTTAGTGTGGAGGGAGTTCAGCTTGTTCCCATGGGAGCAAGGCTGCAGTGGGCTGGAGTATCTTCCAGCCTGGAGGTTTCCCATCCAGCTTGGGGAGACCCTTGGCTTTGACAAGTGAGGTAGAGGAGAAGGCTAAGACCAAGGAAGGTTACACAGAAGGTTATTTTTCATGTGTAAGTGATGAGGAGGGATGGACTGGTCCTCAGCATTGGATGTCACTTCTCAAAATATTCTGTTTTCCCCCAGACACTGGTTTTTGGGTTTAGAAAAAAAAAACAGTTTAAAAGTTCTGCTCTTTCAAACTAGGGAAAGTACCAACTTTTGACAAGGGCTTTGTGGTTGTTGAAAACAATAATTTTTGGGGAAACATTTCTCCTGGTAGCAGCAAACCTCTGTATTTTGAGTTTTGCAGCCCAGGCTGCAAAAACAAATGCTTAGAACACCCATGGTCACAAGTTACCTTGTGTGTGAGGGGTGTCTCTACTGCATCACATTATTCAGTGTGTCTTTATGTCTGCCTTTCCCCTTCATATGCTCCGTTCCTAAGATTAGTACAGCTTTCCTGCTCATGGATAAATAATTTAAACACCTGGACTGATTAAATGCATGCACAGGAGCTCAGAGCAGTCGTGGCTTTTCTTTTCTTTTGATTCCAAGACTGACTTTTCTGAGGAAGATTCAAAGCAACTGAAAATAGCTTCATCACAGAAACATCAAGCGCAACTTGAGCATTGTCGTGGATTCAGGCAGTGAACGTTTGCCTTCCCATTAGCGACGTCTCATTGAACACTCAAGGGCTTATTGACAACTCGTTTGCTTTGCCTAATTGTGTGCCTTGCTGGAGGGCAGGACCGTCCTTCCCTTGGCAGGGCTGGTGTGAGGGAGGTTTAGGAGCCAAGCTGAGCTCATCAGAGGGCTCCTGTGAACCCCGAGTTCTGCTGGGGGTGGAGGAGCTGCAGCGGTGCTTGCCTGTCTGAAAAAAAAAAAGTCCTTCCTGCTAATTTTCTTTCCAAAATGCCGTTTCCAAGAGGAACAGCTCTCTTGCTTTCCCCAAGAGAACTGCAGCCCAAACCAACCACCTAAGGAGAGAAGTGTTTTTCCTCTCTTGTCCTGCATCAGTCAGTGCTCAGACTGGCTGACAAAAGCACTCTCAGATGACTGGAGTTTCCTCTCCTTTTGTTGTAAAAAAAAAAAAAAATGCTCTTAGGAACTACCTTTATAGAGCAGCTGCATGTGTCTAGGCTGGAGTTAAACCACAGCTGGAAAACATCTCTCATCTCTCACTCAAAACATCTTATATCTAGAGATTTAAAACCTCGTGCCAGAAAGTTGTGGTGGAATTCTTTGCCCAAGATTTTTCCTGCTGCACCAGCACTACTCTACAAGGACATGAATACCTCGATTGCCTGTGTCTTGTCTGTCTTATTTGCAGAGGGAAATGTGCAGAAAACGGGGTAGTGGGAGGAAAGTTTCACTTGGCATTTGGATTTTTTGATTATCCCCCCTTTTTTTTTGAAAAAAAATTTTTTTTAATATTTTACAGTAACCTGGAAGATTTGTCATGGCTTCAGTCCTCTCTCTGGCTTTCCACCCTCCTTTAGAAGCAATGCTGAGCCAGACACCAGGCTTTTTGCAAGCCAGGGCAATTCCTGCTTGGATCCAGTTCCTGCTTGTCAGTGGGATCCATCCATTACTGTAGCAGCAGGGTGGGTTTTGTTGTTTCAGATGATCCCTTGCCCTAAGCCCATCACACTTTACTTCTTCTAAGGCCAATCCTATGCCTGCTTTTCCCCCTTGGCATGCTTTGGGGAAGATTGGCCTCTCCAGCTCCTCCACGTGGTCCCTTCTCTCCTCTCTGCCGGAACTTTCCTGTAACTTGCTGCTGTTCCTTGCCAGTGGAGCCTTGGGCAAAAGGCATCTCCCTCCGTGTCCCAGTGCTCCAGCACGGCTCTGTTTGGTTGCATCAGCTCCTCAGCTCAGTTTGCTTATGGAAAGCATGTCTTAAACCTTCAGAGTGCTGCTTCCTGACCACCCAGAGAGCTCCTGCGGAGTTTCAGTGCTGTCTGGAACTTGGATGAAAGCCTTAATTCATGCCCTGTCTGCATTTCTGCATTCCTACCTGCAGGGCTTGCAGGAGGCCTCCATCTGTAGCTTGTTCCTTCATCATGGGCCTTTGTTGGAGTTTGGGCAGGTGCCTGTGCAACACAAGTTTAAGTGTGTTCTCCACTGACTGTGTGAAAGGTTATCTGTAGCTTCCATTTAGGTTTGGGATGATGGGATGATGCATTTTTATAGTGTTTCCACACCAGGACCTGCTGGAGCAAGTCCAGAGGAGGCACCAAGATGATCAGAGGGATGGAGCACCTCTGCTGTGAAGAAAGGCTGGGAGAATTGGGATTGTTCAGCCTGGAGAAAGAGAAGCTTTGGGGTGACCTAACTGTGGCCTTTCAGGACCTGAAGGGAGCTACAGGAAAGATGGAGAGGGAATATTTACAAGGGCCTTGAGTGACAGGACAAGGGGGAATGGTTTCACACTGACAGAGAGTAGGTTTAGGTTGGATATTAAGAGGAAATTGTTCCCGTGAATGTGGTGAGGCCCTGGCACAGGTTGCCCAGAAAAGCTGTGGCTGCCCCTGTATCCCTGGAAGTGTCCAAGGCTGGGTTGGACAGGGCTTGGAGCAACCTGGACTAGTGAAAGGTGTCCCTGCCCATGGCAAGGGGTGGGACTGGATGGGTTTTTAAGGTTCCTTCCAACCCAAACCCTTCTGTGATTCTGTGAACATAAATCTTGCTGCCTCCGCTTGTTGCTAATGAAAGACATTTCCTGGCTTGGTCTTCAGTGTCTCCTGGGAAAGTCACACCAGTTGAGTGAGCAGATCTGCTGATGAAGTCAGCATGTTTGGGATATTGCCCCATGCCTTGGAAACCTTTGTTTGTTCTGTTTATGTTGGTTATAACAAGGGGGTTGCTCCATGCTGTCCCTTTGCCGTGGGGGAGTTGTGAGGAAGGAAAGTAGAGCTGACAGAATTACCTGCCAGCATAATTAAATGCATAGCTAAATGGATATAAAAAGACCAGACAAGTAAATTGCTTTTTGTACAAATAGCCTTTTGTCTTCTGTTTTTTATTGAGGCTTGCCAAAGTGCGAAGATCCCTCTGTGAAAATAAGGTGAGCAATTAGTATTAATTGATTTGGGTTTTAATCCGGGTTGGGCTGAGCTTGCTGAGGCTCAGTGTGGCAATGTATGAAATTGCAGGAGGAATTGATTGCATTTTGTCTCTTCCATGTGCAGCTTTCCCTTAAACTGCTAATGAAATTCCGTCACTAACGAACAGCGTGTTCCATTAAATGTGAGTTCATCTTGGAATTGTTAACAAGTGTCTTTTGGGGATCCTTTTTCCTTGCTAGGCCCCTCCTTTGCTGGGTGTACAGTCTTGAGTTTCACTCTTGGTTTCTTAAAGATGTGCATGGAGATAGCAACACTTCTGTGTCCGTTCCTATATTTCTCTTTGGAGAGTATTTTTCATGGAATGGTTAGTTTGGTTTTTTTTGCTTTGCCTTTGGTAGCAATTACTGCTGCTTGCATTTGTGGCTTCCAGTCCAGAACAAAGCTGGTTTGTGTGTCTGACCAGTGGTAATTGTTCACAGTTGATAATGTTGGAGACCCCTCATTGTGGCTGGGACCTGAATTGTACCAACTGCTGCTGAACCCAAATTATAGAGGTTTAATTTTGACTTCAGGGCTCCTGTGCTGGAATATTTTCTTTCCCCTGGTAATAAACCAAAGAAAAAGTCAGTGTTTAAGATCTTTCCTAAACATGCCAAGTGGGACACAGAAGCCAGTGTCTCAAAAGCTGCCTAAATTTCTATTCTTACCCTTGTCTGCTCTCAGACTTTCCTGGTGACACTGAGTTATCACATCCCATGGGGCAGTTAAACCCATTCCCTGCCTATTTAAATGTGCACTGTGTATGTTAGGTGGCATATGTTGAGTAAGAGGGGAGTTCAGGGAATGAGTGGATGTGGCACTCAGTGCTCTGGACTGGTTGACAAGGTGTGGATTGGCCCCGAGTTGGAACTTGATGATCTCAGAGGTCTCGTCCAACCTTAATGATTCCGTGATTTACAAATGTCTGAGAAGTGTTGTTTGCTCCTAAGTGATTAGGAGATTAAGTAATGGATTAATTGTAGTTATTGCATTGGAACACCCCTAATGTGTGTAGATACAAGGCCTGTGTCCTCTCTGAAAGGGTCGAGTCTTGCTCACCTGTGAGAGGGGGTGGGTGTTTGATTTTGGGGAATTATTTTGTTGGCAATTCACGTTTTCGTCCTTGTTTCTCAAATGAAAACTTTTTAGCTTTCAACTTTGGTCTGAAATGTTTACTTTTCTTCTACATGTGGAGATTGTTGGTAACACATGATTTCAGGGGAATGTTCTGTTTTGCATCACAGGAAGGCTTCAGAAAGCTGCGAGATTGGCAAAACCCAGTTTTCCTTTGGCCATTTGTGCGTGTTTGGAGGTACCTGCTGGGGCATGAGGTGAAGTTGAGCTCAGCCTGGGTGAGTAACACAGTTTTTTGTGCAGCCTCCTCTTCCCGTGGGGGCTTGTGAACACATTCTCACATCATATTTGATTTTTTTCCTACTATGAAATACATCTGTGGAAGGCAACTAATTAGTGCCAGACCCTTCTGTCCTAGGGACGAGTGTAAGACCAGGGCAGGTGCTACTGACACTTCTCCAAAATGCTCTCCCAGCAATGTGCATTTGGGGGATTTTGCAGCCTGTTTGTATTTAGCAGCTTTTTTTTTTTTTTCCAGAGTAAGCCTCTCTCACTTGATTTCTGACAGTCTGCACCAGTTTTTGTGATGACTGTATGCATTTCTCTCTGGGTAATATGAACTTGAAAATCAGCAGTGTTATCATGTTTATCATCTGTCGGGTGTGAGGCTTGTGATGGGTCAAGAAAAGGCTTGGATGGTATTGACCAGCAGTCACCAATTTAGCTGATGGCCAAATCCATGCTGTGGGTGGTTTGTTTTGTGTGTGGGTTTTTTATTTGTTTGGTTTTTTGTTTGTGTTGTTGTTGTTGTTGCTGTTGTTGTGTTTTCATTTGTTTTGCGTTTTTGGTTGTGTTTTTTTGTTTTGTTTTGTTCTTTTGGCTGTGGTTTTTTCTCGTGCCTCAGGTGAAGGATGAATTAATGTCAGTGTTAAAAGCTCTGGCATGGCTGCAGTGGGGCATTCACAGCTCTGTGAAGACACTCACTGGAGCATGTGACTGTGGAGGTACTTAGTGGTTCACTAATTGCATTACTCACTGCAGCTTGTCTGGGCCATCTGGGGGGAACACAGAGCTGCAGGCTCTGGAGTGCAGGTTCAGGTCTGAGGGCTGCAGACAGTTTTTTACCTTGTTCATAGAATCCCAGAATGGTTTGGCTGGGAAGGGACCTTAAAGACCATCCATTTCCACCCTCTGCCATGGGCAGGGACACCTTCCACTAGCCCAGGTTGCTCCAGCCTGGCCTTGGACACTTCCAGGGATGAGGCAGCCACAGCTTCTGTGGGCAACTTTGCCAGGGCCTCCCCACCCTCCCAGCCAGGAATTCCTTCCCAATATCCCATCTAACCCTGTGCTTTGTCCATGTGAAGGCATTCCCCCTTGTCCTGTGCTTCCATCCCTTGTCTCCAGTCCCTCTCCAGCTCTCCTGGAGCCCCTTTAGGCCCTGCAAGGGACTCTCAGCTCTCCCTGGAGCCTTCCCTTCTCCAGGTGAACCCCCCCAGCTCTCCCAGCCTGGCTCCAGAGCAGAGGGGCTCCAGCCCTGGCAGCATCTCCGGGTCCTCCTCTGGACTCTCTCCAGCAGCTCCACGTCCTTGTGCTGTTGTTCCCAGGGCTGGAGGCAGCTCTGCAGGGGGGTCTCACCTGAGGGGCAGAATCCCCCCTCCCTTGCTCTGGGATCAGCCCAGGACACCGGGGGGTTCTGGGCCAGGGCATGTCCAGCTTCTCATCCCCCAACACCCCCAAGTCCTTCTCCCCAGGGCTGCTCTTCATCCGTTCTCCTTCCAGCCTGTGTTTGTGCCTGGGATTACTCTGACCCAGGTGCAGGACTTCAGACACAGACTGGTCATTTACTGAGGGAACTCAATATCTTCGCTGTGTTTGTCTGCTGGCAGACAGTCACTGTCTTGTGTGCACGTGTGCCTGGACCCTGCCAGCTGTGGAAAAGCTGGGGGACTGAAGGACGGGGAACAAAATCCAGCAAAGAAACATGGGAAAGCTGCTGTGGGAGCCCTCTGGTAAAAAATGGGACTGAGCAAGTGCCATTAGTGGCAACTGGGGTGTGCATTTTGGAAGCTGTGGATGTGTCACATATAAGTGAGGGAAACATGCCTTGCTGTACCTTGGTTTCTCCCTGTGTTAAATCTGAAAACACTGCTTATAACACAGCAGACCTTGTTAAAACTAAGCCTGTGAGTGTGAGTGCCCTGGATTTAAACCAAGGAGAAAAATGTACCTGTTTAGTGCTTGGATGCAGTGGTGAAGTCAAATGCTTGACTTAATGAAGAATCCCACATGTCATTCCTTTTCATTGCCTTTTCTCCCCATTGAGGGGTGGAATCTGCACTGATGTCCTTCCACCTCTGGCATTGTCAGGGGATAAAAGAGGCCAGGTGACAGCAAGGAGGCACCTGGAGGGGGCAGTGGAAGAAGTGCTTGTAGGTTTGGCCAACAGAAAGTAAGTCTCTGTATTTCTTAACTAACAATGCCTAAAGACACTCCCCTCTCCTTTCCCTTCCTGGAAAAGGAGGAAAAACATCCCCCAGAAGGCACCCCTGGGGTCTGATAGATAAGCTGTCTGCATTTTTGTGGCAGGGAGTCATCTCTTCCCCTTAGCCCCTGCCCCAGGTAGGCTTTATCTGTCCCACATCTGGCCCCCAGGATTCTCTGGTTTTACAGACTTTTGGAGAACTAAATTGTTGGTCAAGTCCCAGGAGCCTCCTGGGTTGGATGGATGTGACTGTGGCTGCTGCTGCTGGGGGGCTTCTCCTGTTCCCCCTGGCAACAGGGACTCTCTGGTTGCTCAGGATTGTTCCATCCCACTGGAGCAGGTTACAAGTTTAGTGCCTTTTTATTTTTTTTTTGTTGGCACTTTACCTTTTGCCTCCTTCTGCCCTGCAGTGGGAGCAGGAGAGGCATCAGAAAGGGGGCTGAACCTTGTGCTTAAAATCAAACTCGCAGGCTGGTGTGGCTATGGAAGCAAATCCATGATTTTTTTACGGAGAACCCAAGTTTTCTTGAAATATGGGAGGAGAGGAAGAGAGAAATGAGGCTTCAGGTTGCTCCTTGTGCTGGGAATGTGGAAGGACATCCTTCGGCCTGGGGACAGAAAAAAAAAAAAGGGATATAGATAGAGCTCTGCACAAGAAAGAGGGAAGAACATTTTTCTAGAAGGATTGGAGGTTGCTGGAAGGGTTGGCAGCAGCAGTGCAGGCACAGTTTTGCTGAGAGCCCTTAGGATCCACGCCAGATGAAATCCTGCGGAGGAGGCAGGGGCACCCTAATGGGAATTGTAGTGTGGCGAGTTGGGAATGGCAGGACATGAAATGCCTCGGGAGATTTGCCTGCTGCAGATGCTCAGGCTCTCTGGAATCAGTGAACAACCAGTCTCAGTCCACAGGAGGGGGATTTATCCCCTGTTTTGATGGACAGGAGAGAGAAGAGCTGGTGCGTGGTGGGAGTGAGGAGGGAGCCACAGGATAATGTGAGGCTTGGGCTGGGAATCCTGCTCAGCAACTGGCATGGCCAAGGGCTGTGTCTGTGACAGCCAGGGAAAACAGCAGCCCCAGGGGGCTGCTCCTGTGTGGTGCCAGGTAGGGACCAGCACCTGCCCAGGTGGGTGGTGGGGAAGGAGGTGCTTGAGGAAGTGCACAGACCTGACCTGGGGTGGGATGTCCTGACCCTGCCAGCCAGGCAGATGAAAAGGACTGACAGCCAGCTGGGGCTGCTGGTGTGGGGTCAGAGGGGTGGGTGTCCCTGGGCTCTGCAGCCCCCGGGCCGCCAGCAGCATGTTTGTGTCAGCAGGGTCCCACACGTCTGCAGGGGCTTTCTCTCCAGACTGATAGGAGCAAGCATTGCTCTCTTGGATCATCCCAAATCCTTGCTGACAGGAGGAATGTGCGGGTTTCTTGCCTCGTGGCTCCTCTGCTCCAGCACACCCTGCAAGCACAGGCACACGGGCACCCCGTTGTCCTGTTGGGTTTCAGTGCCTCTCTTAGACAGGGAACGCTCATTTGAAGAGGTTTGTCAGCACCCAAACCTGGGTCACTGCTGGGAGGGGGTCCTGGGAAGGCATCTGTGTTCTGTGACCCTGTTTGTACACAGCCTGCAAGGATCCTACCTGCTGAGGGCACACCCGTGTTGGAACGAGGGGAAAACAATGGCAAGGATGAGGATTCAACAAAATGTCTGCGACAGACAGCAGTCTCTCCTTAGGCAGTCCTAGAAAGGAGGTATCCCTTCTCTCAAGCAGAAGCTGGAAATTGCTTTATTTTTTTGTACTTTTGAAAGTTATCCAAGGGAGCAGTAAGGGTTGTCAAGCATTTTGAGAGTAACCTGAGAATGTTGCCCTAAACAGACTTGTTCTGGTTCTAGGCCTGCACTAGTCTTTGTGGAAAGGAAGAATTTAATCCCCATCACCTTCGTGTTGGCTCTAAGCGTGTTGTGAGTCAGGTTTTCAGGTGTTAAGACAACCTTGGTTTGGTGAGCCCTGCTCTGTACTTTCACTCCTACCTGCTGCTCAGTCACCTCTTTAACAAACGTGGGCACATGGAGGTGTTTGTACCATCAAAGTGCCTGATGCAAATGTACAATCTTCTCTCAACACATCCTTCCTTCCTTAGTGCTGGAGGTGGTGGGAGGAACTGGATGTGAAACACTCTTTATCTCAGTAAGAGAAGGTGTCTGAACCTGTTTGCACTTCAGGGGCAGGTACTACACCTCCTTTTATCCCTGTGAAAGACCAGCTTTTCTTCTTTTGTTTGCAGGGTGCTTTGGGCTTTCCTTTTGCTTGGTGGCTCCACAGGCCACATGGAGTAGGAAGATGCCAGAAATATGGGAAAGGAGAGGCAGCTGTGTGCGTGGTGGTGTTTTCTGCTTCCCTGCAGTTGACTGTGGCAAGTAAATGAACCTCTGATCCGTAGCAGTTCCTGGCCACTAAACACTTGCCTGGTGAATTTTAACCAGCAGGAAGTTTGCAGAAAACATGTTGAGAATTGTCACTTTAACAGGCTGGCATTGTGATAAGAAAGCACCAGCACACAGGGCAGGTTTTGTTCACAGGGGGATGTTTTTGCTGTATTTCATCAAGCCATTCCCAATCCTGTCTTTTTTGTTGGAGTCACTCTCTTCCTTCCTGAGTGTACCCCATTGGCTAATTGCTCTCCTTCCAGGGGTTCTTGGTGCATGTGCCCATCCCTCCCGATCTTTACACACCTGTTGAAGAGAACTGGTAACCTTTCTCTTCTTTCTCACAAAATGCAGAGCCAAATGCTGCTGGAACAGC